GCCTCTTTGACCTGTCTGTTTCCTCTCCATCTATCTTCTCCTCTATCCATCTTCTATTCACCTCCCCCTCTCTCCCTATTTATTTCAGAAACCCCTACCCCTCCCCCATTTCTGAAGAAGGGTCTAGGCCCAAAACGTCAGCCTTCCTGCTCCTGTGATGCTGCTTGGCCAGCTACTTGAAACAGTTTAGAGAACAGGTGGATATCTGCTATCTCTTGAATGGATGAAAATTTCTCAAAGTGCATAATACATGAAGTGAAAATTTTTAGTACTTTGAAAACACTCAACTCTTCTTCCAAACCCCTTTAGCTAGCACCCCTAAACACCAGCCCTTTAACCCAATCCTTTCCTTCTATTTATTCACTTATGGTTCCCTTTTCTCACCTCCCATAACCACCTGGCAGACACTTTTTATAGTACACTTAAGGAAAAGTTAGGGAGCTGGTCCAATTTTATCAGAGAGGCAGACTCTAAAGCAATGGGTTATGTTTCATTTGCACACAAATAATATACTGGTCTGGAAGCTCATTGGGCTTCTTAGAACAGCCTCACCTCTGCATACCAGTGTGTTGATTTAAGAATTGTATTGATTTTTGACACTTAGTCACAGCCTGTACTTTCTAACAGCCTTCCAGCAAGCTGTCCCAGGGCCCCACTGGCCTCTAATTAATCAGGTCATCACTGAAAATCAACTGCGATTCACTGGAACCAGTAGAAACTCAGGCTTTGTCACACACTCCTCATTATGTCACCATTTGGCTCATTTGAAAAGAATCAGAAATCATATAGATTCAGCATGGCAATGGATGGCATATTATATCAAGTGAATATAATGAAGGTTGCCACGTACCAACATTCTTATTCCCATAGCTTCATGAAGTTGTGGCATATCAACATTCTGACTGATGCGAGATATCATGCGCATAAGTAGTTGCAGTTTTCTACGATTAGGTGGAGGCAAGAAGAGACAACAGATCTGAAGGGCTTCTATGGCAATCCGCTCCAGCTGAGGTTGCAGCAAACCTATCATAAGTGCATTAATCAGGTTTGACGACATTTTTTCTGATCTTCATTTAATGTATAAACATTAAAACGCTTATATTTGAAAAAGAAACGTACAGCTAACTTCTTCCAAAGCTAAAATTGTGCACGCAGGCTCAAAATTAGAAAAAAAAACTAGATAAGACAGTTTTTAACAATAATTGTCAGAGTATTATTAAACACTTAATTCAGAAGCATCCAATCTCCCTCTATCCAACCAGTATACAGCAATAATTTGGGGGTTGTAGCTAATACAAAACCACTATCAACAATACCAGCAATAACAAAATCAACAAGACTCAATCTTTACAACCCAATTATTTAATAAAATTACAGCAGTACCCATTGTTCAAATCTTCCATTTATAGCTAATAAAACACTTTCATTAAATTTTACAAATTTAGTTGTGTTTAACTTATCTTTTCCCCAAATAGACAAACGAAAATATGCAAGCCAAGACAAACACCAATGCATGCAATATTTATCTTACTTTGAGTTCCATTTAGATATCCGGAAAATGTTGAATGACCACCAGTTGAAGCATGTTCAGATCCATCCACAGCATGTTTGTTACAGTGGGACACAAGAGGCCCATCTATAGCTGGATATTCACTGTCCACTGCAGCAGCTAAACTGTATGTGCTTGGTTGTCTGAATCCTAGTTCAGCCGAAGAATCAGGTTTCATAGTGACTTCAGCAACTGGAGCATTTATATTGAAGTGGCTGCCTTTATCTTTGAACACTTTATTTTTACTGGCTGTGTTTAACTCATTGGAGCTCATTTTAGAGAAGTGGTGCAAACTCCATGATTGTACATATTGATCTTGCTGGTCCTGACCATAAACTAGGTTTTGGCTGGAGGCATTGCTTGACTGTCTGAGCAATTCTTGATTTGTACAATTAGTCCAAGGCTCTTTACCAAATTCAGCCAAGGTCCACACTGAGCTACACCTGCAAGTCGAGTTGGAAATTTGTTGTCTGCCATTCTCCAAATAGAGATTTGACATTGACTCTGCTCTTGGTCTACTCTTCACAAGGGATCGCGTGACCTGACTATGGGACTGTTTGTGTCCATTTTGAAGTTTTGCTTCATTTAGATCAGAGTGACAGCGTGGTTTGTGCAGTATATCTCCACTTGAAAAATTCATGTTTCCTACTGAGTAGCGTCTAGACTGGATGGAAGAATGTTGTAATTGATCATTCTTTAAATTAGTCAGATTCTGACAGCTGCCTCCTGTTAGGTGCTCTTTGACAACAGCTTTTCTGCAGTTTTTTACATTCTGGTTTAGATGTCTAACACATCCTTTTTGAAGGCTGTGCACAGTTTGATTGATTTTTTGCTCAGATGTATATTCCATTTCCTCTCGTAGCTGTTCTATTTCCAGCAAAGGGTTATTTTCTTCGGAAAGGTCTTTGCGAATTAAGCTTAGTAACAGACACTCTGTTGATTTGAAAGAGTGTGTATGTCTATTCAAATGCTGCGATTTTGCTGGCTGTGGGCAACAGAGCTCATCCAAATTCTTGCGCTTTCCTTGCTGTCTGTTTGAGACCATGATGTAGCCACACAAGACTAGCAGAAAACCAAAACATATTTAGGTACACTGAATGCAAAAAATAGTAAGCATTAGCAATGAGCTGAGCAAGGACAAGATACAAGAGTCACTGCAAAACGTGTTAATAACATTGAAAACACAGACTATAAAATACACGCAGCAACAGTTACTAATGGGAATAACTAACTTTAATGCTTATATCCCTTCTGAAAAGCGCTAGTAAAAATTACACAAAGCAAACACCAAGTATCATAAGACATCAGATTCACAACTATAGATGTTAAAATCTTTCAATTATTCTTGCTTCCATGTACCTACCCAATATATTCACAAAGAGTTCATAAAGTTCAAATGTAAGTAGAGGCTCAGGAAGGTTTACAAAGTAGTCTGCAACAGTTTTGAATACATCTCGCTCAAAACCAGGATAACTTGACTGGGTCAGTTCATTGTTCCGGGGCCCTGAAAAAAAATGTCATCAATATTAACAAAAATACAGGGAGAAGCAATAATGAAGGTCAAACAAACTCTCAGGACCTGTACAAGACTAACTAGAATAAATTCAAAGAATTTCCAACTAAAATTTTAAAATTGTTACAAATTTCACGTCAAAAGTCTCATTGATATTATTATCACCATACTCAGCAAGTGGTGGATAGAAGCCTTGCTATAGGATTTGAGCATATAATCTATGCTGACATTCCAGTTCAGCTGTTCCACCAGAGGGCATGGAACTGTAGTTTCCGATACATATGCTTATGTCTAAATTTACAACAAAATAACAGAAAGAGCAAAAGCTATTACTAGAAGATTCCCTGTGATGTTTCTTAAGCTAAATGAACAAATTCAATATTTTGTACCTATAGGCATTTAGACTACATTGGAGTTAACACTAATTCAAAGTGATTCAAATCAACTCTACTTTCCATAAAAATGCAGTCATGGATTTATCTTTGTTTTTTTTGGGATTAAAGTCTGCAAATCTACCCTTTATTCTTTTAAAATATAACAGTCGTCACTTGTATTTCAAATCAATTATTTTATCCATAGAGTTAATTTCAATTCCTTATGAGAATACACAGCATGATGAGTTACAAACATAGTCAACTGAAGTTAGACTGCTGGAGGCGTGGTGTGAAGCATGAAATTCCAGTGTGGGGGTGGGAGCAGAAATCTCTGTACAAATTTCAATGTATGCAATCTTGCCCCTACCCTACTTGCATAGTTTCACAAACCTGGTGGATCACTGAATTTTAGGAGCTTGTCGAAGAGTTAGGTGGGATCAGGCTATTCTCCCACAAACTCCAAAGCTCTGTCAGAAAACAACTTTTCCTTGTTTCACTATTTTATCCATGCTCTCAATTCCTGCTCCTCTTTCCGGCCACACTTACCACCTCCCTCCTGGTCCCCAGGGCACACCACACCCATTGCAGGAATTTCCGGGGTCTGATAGAAGCCCCGACTATCCTTTGACCCTTCACTCTACAGAGTGACCAGACAATGATCTTTAACATGCTAAAAAGGCCTTTATTACTTAGCTGTAGCTAGGGACTCCAGAGAATCTAAAAACGAGGTGCTGGAGACCCAAAACACAGAATTACAGAGGCAATTATACCCTTGGCTTCAGTCACAAAAAATTAACATAGACCGACTAAGAGGTATAATTATCTAAAATTGAATCATTACTATTGATTAGGTTTACATCATGCATAGACTATAACTATAATAAACTACTACATATGTATGCTTATCTACTTGTAATATATGGTTAGTGCGAAGATATGTACATATCATCAGGTCTGATTGCATCTTGGACTACAATTTCTCCTTACATAATGGTTCATGCCTGATTTGCAGACATCAACTACCTTCCTTTATCCAAGGTCCCTGGTGTTTTAGTGCCTTCTTTCAAGGCTCAGTGGTTCAATGAATAAACAACTTTGACTGGGGACATGATCTTATTATTCCTTTGTTGTCTTGCGGATGCTTTACTTCTTTTCCGATACAATATAAAATCTGCACTGATACCTTCATTCCTCTATACAGCCACATCAGCTACCTCCTGAAAATCTACTTATTTGAATGCCTTAACCTTTTGTTTCATTGTATGTTGACAACTTACAGTTTGCTAAACATTTCATAGCAGATAGCACCCAATGAGGCAGGTCCGCTGCAAAGAAAGAAAAGCGTTTGAGAAAGAAATTCTAAGAAAAAGTGTTGACACATCAGAAAACTTAAAATTATTAGATTAACTTTCATTAACCACCCATGATTAAGTGCAATGAAGCTGTCAAAATTTTGTAAATTACCAAACTTAACTTAGTTCAGGGAGGGAGAGAAGAGGAGAAAAAAAAAAACAATTTTGTAGTGAGCCAAACGTTAGAGCAGGTTTTCATCCTGTAACTGTCCTGGTTAACTATCAAGGTAAGTCACAACCTTCCAAAGCATCCAAGTTCAGCTTGGAGAGATCAAGAATTCCAGATGTCAGCTAAAGTGCCCATTAGAAATTTCAACTTGCTGAGCAATTATCACATAACCTGCATTATGAAACATTCAGACCAAGTTTGATCTCAGACAGAAAAGACGATCTGGCCCTGCCTGTTTTTGCCATATAATGGATAACCCACTGAAATAAGCATTCAATACTGCTAACCTTCATGCAATAATTTTAGAAAAACGAGATTCTTTTTACCTCTTCTCTGCACTTCTTTGGTATCTGCATCTCAATTCTAAAGAATTAGAATATTTTTGCAGTCTAAATGTTCTGTTAATATTGAGCATATTCCGACCTCTATAAATTGATCATTTTCTTGTGGTTTAAAATTTGGCGTAAACATCTGTACAATACTTTTGATAACAGTTAAGACATTAATCAAACCACCACATCCAATGACCAGTAATAAATTATTGCAGAATAGAAGGTTCCTACAAACAGATGCGTCATGGAATGAGTAGCCTGTCTCCACTTCCTATTTGGCAATACTGTATACACTATCAGAAACACAAGAGGTGGTCTCACCTGACTTGTCTTGTAATATTACAACTCCATGTTTACTGACATTACGTACGTTGTACAAAATGTACTGAGGGATAACTTGGGAGAAATCAAGTACATCATTTAATGCAGCCAAACCCAAGATCTTCTGTAGGCTGAAATGAAACACCACAATATAGAATAACGAATATTCAAAAGCAAATTCAAGCTATTTCATGGTCAAAGAAGAACAGGCTGTAATTAGTTATTTTTGTGCTTTTACTAATGAGCAAGAGAAAAGTTAAAATTGTCTAGAGTAAATTTTGTTTGATCATATTCTGATTTTAATTGACTAATAACTGGTCAAAATTACTACATCTACTCAAATTTAAAATTTAAAAAGAAAAGTGACTACATCAAGCACTCAACCCTTTAGCTTTGTTGGGTTTTTCCATCTCTGAATTCAGTATTGTACAGCTTTCTCTAACAGCCCTACTAACACAGGATCACAAATGAATTTGGAATACATTTTTTGAATACAATGCAAAATGTCACATTGTAGTTGCCCATTTGTATTGCACATGGGAATTAAAGAAAGGGCAATTTAAGGATAGTGCCTGTGGTCTGGTCTTAAGATCCATTTGCTTACTGCCAGTTCCAATTATTAGGCCAGCCAGGAGTTCTTTTTCCATTTTAATACGTTTTGTTTTAGTCACAAGTTGCCACAACAAATAATTAATAACTAAGACTCTCCAACATTTGCAATACAATAATAAGCATAATGACAAAAATAGGAATAATCAGAGTCATTAAGGTCATCACAGGTCAAACCTTTTGTATGGCCAAAAGGCAATTGGAAGGATGCCTCAAGCCTCAATCTTTTGGAAACTTAGAATTGGAGAATTGTGTTAAGGTACACATTAGCAAGTCACAAGTGTAATGTTGCAGTTATGCCCATGAAAATTGCAGAAAACTTACCTTGAATATATCTTTAATTATTGATAGAAAATAAAGTAAAGAGAAAATGAAATTGGTAAAATTTTGCACGGAAATCAAAGACACTTTTGTAAAGTTTGAAGAATGGATTTGGAATGGTCTTTTGGATGGAATTAGACCCAATTCAAAAGAATTGGCAAGTGTATGTATGAAAATCAATAGCAAAGTTAGACTAAAGTTGCAAACTTTGGATGCTTAATACTCATAGATGAAAGAATACATTTATTGAAAAATATTCCAGTGAGAACACAAATTACATCAGATTCAGTGAAGTCAAGATTGGGAAGATGGTGAAACTTGACCAGCTGGAATTAGTCCATTCCAGATAAACATTTAATGTTTCTCTTCCTTAAAAGGCATGTGCAGTTGGGGTGGGATGGGAGAAGAGGAGAGAAGAACTTGCAACAGGAAAGAAGAAAAATAGCGAAGTTGGATAGGAGTTGTGTAGTTTTTTTTTAAGAAAAGAAGGTTTAGATGTGAGGGACAATTATTATTGACAGAAGTCCTCAGAGTATAAAATTCAAGCATATGAGTAGTTGATAGTTGGTTGGAAATCTGCAGGGTATTGAGAATAAGCCAGTGAGGAACAGAGGACAACCATGACATCTGGGATGTTGAAAGCCATCCATCTCTTCTGCAGTTCACTGTCATCGTACTTATATTTACTTTTTCAAGAACAAGATCACTTACTGGTTAAGTGCAATTTCTCTCCAAATTTCTTCAATGTCAGTTTGTGTAACTTGTCTGACATGTATTATTGATTCTTCAGAAATGATCCCTGGCATCTTTTTATCTGTTTCTTCTGCATTCACCTTGTAAGAAACACAAATTTGACAGAAAATAAAATTAACTTATAATTTCATCAAAACTTTTGAAACAGTTTCTTTCTAAGGAATGTTAGTGCAGAAAAATACAGGCCAAATGATGGTCTACTTATTTGAACTCTACAAAAATGTAGAGAGCTGACTTCGTATACTCAAGAGTGTAGAGGTGCAATTGCCATTTTAGATAGCTCAGCTACTTGGGCAAATGGGAAACTGTATTATTTTCCCTAGGTATGCAACCAATTTGTACAAACATTTATTTGATATGAAAATGATTTTGCACAGCTTACTCAACACCCTAGCAAGCAATTTCCAATACACATGCTCTGGGTGCAATTTATTGCTGAAGGTTAGGTAGGAGGGGTATTTTAAAAATTGTCACATGAGTAGTAGTGATGGGACAGAGAGCCCATAACTTTCCAACTGCTCCCAATTAAATCAGATTGGGAAGGTAGAGGTCAGTGGTTCCCAGCACGAATCCAAAGGTCTCCTTGCACCATCACTGCTATTTTACTACGGCACAGGTCAAAAGCCGGGAGTGCAGTGGAGACAAGCGGGAGGGCGTAAGACACATGGTGTGTCATGGTATACCCAACAGCTCTGGTTACTCTCCTGATTTAACAGCATTAAGATATCCAGAGAACATCCCTTTTGGCAAAAAGTACATTAGGGGAGGCTGTGCCTCCCCTACCAACCATATTGATTGTTCCCTCCCTTCATATATTCCTCCATCCCCTCAATTCCAAGCCTGGCTGACAGACTCACCAGGAACACACAGTCTCACTCACCTATCTTCTGGGGTCTCCATTATTAGCTGCTATACAAAGGGCTACTGTAATTTATTAAATTCAGTTTGGCCAGTCTGATACAAAAATGTATTGGCATCCACCAAACATCATCATACTCAAGGTGAATTGTCCAACTGAGCTATCAGAAGTTGTACAGGTGGATTAATTGAGGGGTCAGCCAGCAGTCTGATATTCATGAAATTTATTATTAGGTTTAAGATCTCTAAGCCAATGCTACAAAGGAAAAAAAATTGTCATGACCTGAAAAATGGAACTTGTAAAGATGGAGCACACCTATCCAAGTATGAAGAGAGATCCTCATGCAAGTAGTTTTGATAAAGAATCACATCTACTCCCCTGCAGGACTACCAACAATGATGTTTGGAAGATCAAAGAGCCCCTGTCTCTTCAGTTTCCCCATTTTGACTACAAATCCACTCTAGTTTTGTCCTTAACCTATACATAGGATACAAAGATAAAATCCAAGCCAAGAGGCCCATGTCAATCTTACAGCTTGTATTGGAATTTTGCTGTCAAAGGATAAAGATGAAAAATAACCTTTACCACTTTCAATGAAGTATCAAAAGTGTAGAATTCAAGTCCCAGGTACTGGCATATATTAACAAACAGGACAAATTCTCATACCAGTTTGGCAATCCTGTCTTAAATTGCACAAGTCATAATGCTGCACTTGCGACTTCACTAATTATAATTAAGCTGGTTCATCTAGATTTCAAGGATGTGCATTCATCCTAAAAATAGACTGTCAGCATATCAGCCTTGTGTTCAAACCAAACTACTGTCAAACATTTGTTACATCTAACCGAAAGAAATTGCTGGAAAAAGTCAGCAGATCTGGCAGCATTTTGGGTTCAGTGACCCTTCAGATTTGTTAAATCTAACTATTTTGAAGATCTGATGCGAAATGAATGAATGATCTCAATCCACTTTAAGGCACTAGGCTACGGAACAAGACTATATTTAACTCAGTACCAATTATACATTTCCAAAGGATAACTCCCATCTTTAAGCAAGATGGTGCAAGTTACTTCATACTAGACTGTATTGTTCTTGACAAGATACTGTTTGAAATGCCCAATAGATGCTTGAAATGGGAAGTGTTTATTAATCAACATTAACATCGCTCATTCTGATGCACTAGATGTTCAGATCATCCTCAGTGCCTTTCATTACGATGTTGACAAGTACATCCAATACAATGGGCTCATAATAGGGTAATTTCAAGCCTTGAGCTTTGCTATATTTTGTTAAGATTATAAGTTCACACACTATTGTTCACTGCAAAGCAAATCACGTGCCAACGGAAACAAAACAGGAACCTGCACTTCAGTCAATTTAGTCTACTGTATTTGCTGCTCACAATTTCGTTTTCTCTGCATTAGTGAGACAAAATACAGACTGGGTGATTGTTTTGCAGAATTCCTAAGTTCTGTCCACAAAAATGACTCCAAACTTCTGATTCCTTTTCACATCAACACAATACCATGTTCCCATGCCAACATTTGTCTCAGTCTGCTGAAATGCTCCTGCGCGGTTCAGCTCAAGCTGGAAGAACAGCAATTCATTTTCTGCTTGGGGATCCAGCAGCCTTCAGGACTTGGTAGAGTTCAATTCCTTTTGGAACATCTTTTTCCATGTCCTACACGCACTCTCCACACCCCAGGTCCTGTCAGGACATGGGCAGTTTTCACTACAGCCAATCTATTTTCACCTAACGTTCCCCATTATCAGATTTTCTTACCTCCCTAGCTAACCATTATTCATCCCTTTGTCGGCCTCACTGTCTTTCACTTCCTTTGGGTTTTGTGTCCATCTGATAATCACACTTTCTCCCCCTCACTATCTTCAGCATATATACCACCATTTCCTAGCTACTGTCAGTTCTGTAGAAGAGTCACTAAACCTGAAATGTTAACTCTGCTTTCTCTCTGCAGAAAGTGCCAAACCTGCTTACTTTTCTAGCAATTTCCATTTCTGTTTCAGATTTCCAGCATCCACAGTTCTGTGTTTTATTTCCATGTGCCAAAAGGATAGATAAGGCAAAAGATAAACAATTTCCACTGTTTGGGGCTTTTGAATTAAAGGATATTGGTCTTGCCCTAATTGTCAGACATTCAGGAAAGATAATCTCTCACACACACACACACACACACACACACACACACACACACACAGTCGTAGATATTTGGAACTCTCTGCCACAAAAGAGGCTGCTAGGTTAGTTGCTAATTTAACAGATAGTGCTGAGTCCTCCCTGATTTTTCACCGCTTCTATTTTTATTATTTTATCAATTTTAATTTTGAATTGTGAACAGGGAATTGAGAACTGGAAGTGACTCGTGGAATTTGGGACAACTTACAGTAAAAAGAAAAGAACATACCAAGCAAGCCTTTGTTTGTTTGCGAGACCAGGCTTAGAGTTTAATGGTAGGCTGATTCTTGATTAAAGAGTTCCGACAGACAACGACACTGGGAAGAGCATTTGTTTAAACAGATGCCAGAAGCTGGCAATTAACAAGGTCACTCCTAAGAATTGGTTCTGGCAAGTCTTGAAGAAACCCTATATTGAAGCAGATGGCAGATGTTGAATGGCAATGGAGGCCTCAGGAAAAGACTGTGTCTCAGGGCCAGGAACCAGTGTTAAATTATGTTTTCTGTGGAGATGAGTTTAGCTGCTGACACAGCATGCATGTGGAAGCTCCCTGTCTAAATCTCCTACAGCAGCTTCCGTAAGCTCTAAGAGTAGGAAGGTTAGTATTGCTATCTGTATCCAAGTGTACTGAAAAGGTAACACTAATCAACACTTCCAGAAGTGACCAAGGTGTCCACATTAATGCTCGTGAAACAATGCAGTTTGAAAACCAATTAAGTAATCTAGTCAGTTTTGTTATTTCTTTTAATTATTGCTTAACTGTATGTGTGCCTATCTTGTGTGGGAGCTAAAAACAAATGTTTCAGGTTTAAAGAACATATGTTAATTTGATTATGTCATTTAATTTTTCTCTGCTGAAGTTATTGTGTATTTAATAAATTGTTAAGTCTTCTGTAGGAAATACAAAACCAATGTCTGGAATTAATCATTCACAAAATCAGAATTGGTTATTCAAAAGTTCTGGTTAGGTACATTGGAATAACTATTGGGGACCTTCATTAGTTTCAATTTTATCAAGTTGTGAATACAGAGGTAGACAGGCTGATTTGGTTTGGCTGTCTCCATGTTGCAACTGATTAATAATTTTTTTGTCAAGCAAAAGTTAAGGGATATGGGCTAAAGACAGAGTTAGGTCACTGATCAGCCATGATCTCACCGGGTGACAGAATAGGCTCAAGGGGCTGAATGGCTTACCCCTGCTATGTCCCTAAGCCAAATATCTTCATTAGTAGCATAATTGGAACATAAATATCCAGAATATTACATTATCAGTTATAACAGATATGGGCAATGGATTTCCTCAGAAGGTAGTAGATTCAAAGTCAATTGAAAGTTGTCAAGAAACCTGGATCATTACTGTTAAGAAAGTATAGTGAGTTTGAGAAAGGAATGAAATGATTCAGACCACTCACCATTGCCCTTTTTCTGATACATATTAATGATCAAATCTTGGCATGCAGGGGACAATCTCAAAGTCTGCAGATGACATAAAACTTGGAAGAATTGTAAACCATGAGGAAGACAGCATAGAAATCAAAAAGGACATTGACATTGGTTTGGTGGCCAGTGGGGCTCAATGCAGAAAGATGTAAGCTGATGTATTTTGTAGGAAGAACATCAAAAGACAAGATAAAATAGGGTGCACAAGTGCAGAGAGGTCTGGGTGTATGTACGCAGATCGCTAAAGATGGCAAGACAGGTTAAAAAGATATAGAGTATCCTCTGCTTTAATAATAGGTACAGAGTTCAAAAGCAAGGAGGTGATGCTGCATTTGATAGACCTTAGCTAGAGTATTGCTTACAGTTTTGGGGCACCACATTATGGGAAGGATGTAAATGCATTGAAGAGAACAAAGAAAATAAGAACTAGGAGCAGGAGTAGGTAATTCAGCACTTTGAGCTTGCCCTGACATTTGATACAATCATGCTAGATCTCATCTTAGCCTAAACTCCACTTTCATGTCTGCTCTCCATAGCTCTTCAACCCCATTACTAATTTAAAAAATCTGTTTATATCCTCCTTAAATTGACTCCATGTTCCAGCATCGACCATACTCTGGAGTACTGAATTCCACAGATTTATGAACCTTTGAGAGAAATAATTTTTCTTCATGTTTTAAAATCTGCTACCCCTTAGCCTAAAACTAATAACCTCTCAATCTGGATTGTTCCAAACAAGGAAACATCCTTTCTATATCTGCTTTGTCAATCCCCACTAGCATCTATATACCTCAATTACATCACTCATGCTTCTAAACTCCAGAAAGTATGAGCCTAAAATGATCAATCTCTCTACAAGAGAAAGTCCTTATCCCTGTAATCAATCTGGGTGAATCGCCTCCGAATTGCTCTAATACATTTACATCCATCCTCAAGTAAGGAGACCAAAATTGTAAGCAATATTCCAGATACAGTCTCATCAATGCCTTGTATAATTGGAGCAACACTTCCCTACACTTATACTCTATTCCTATATAAAATGCCAAATTCCATTTGCCTTCCTTATTACCTGCCATACCTGCATGCTAGTTTTCAGCAATTCATGCATGAGGACACCCAGATACCTCTGCAACATAGCACTCTGAAATTTCTTGCCATTTAGATTATAAGTTGCCTTTCTATTCCTCGAGCCGAAATCGGTGTCCTTACACTTATTTATCTGCTAAATTTTGGCCCATTCACTTAACCTACCTTTAGCCATTTGAAAATTTCTTAATTCTTTATCGCAACTTGCTATCCCACCTATTTTAATTTCATCTACAAATTTGGCTATAATATACTTTCAATCCTTACAACCAAGTCATTAAAATAGACTGTAACTAGTTGGTACCCCAAGGACTAAACCCTGTGGCACCCACTGGTGACATCTTGCCAACCAGGAAAAAACCATTCATCCTGACTCTCTGCTTTTTGTTGGTTAGCCAATCCTATATTCAAGCAAATAAATGGCCCCTAACGCTTTGTGATCTTACCTATTAACTTTTTTGTGCAGCACCCTGTCAAATGCCTTCTGCAAGTCCAAATGTTCTAAATATCTCAGATCCCCATTAACCACCTAGTTTGTTATAGCTTCAGAGAACTCTAGCAAATTAATCAAACATGACTGACCCTTCATAAAACCCATTCAGACTCTGATGAATTGAATTTTGACTTTCCAAAATGTTCGGCTATTACTTTCTTAATAATGGATTCTAACTGTCTTCCAATGATACATTTTACTAACAGTTCCTACTTTCTGTCTTGCTCCCTTTTTGAGCAGGGGTGTTAAATTAGCATTTTTCCAGTCCCTTGGAACCTTTTCTGCATCCAAGGAATTTGGAATATTATAACTAATGGATCCACCATCTCTGCTGGCACTTTCTTGGAGATCCAATATGTAGGCCATTAGGTCCTGAGCCTATTTACAAGAATGGTTTGAAGGATGAGAAATTTCAGCATGAGGAAAGATTGAAGTGCTATCCTTGGAGAGAAGGCAGCTAGGAGAAGATTGGATAGAGGTTTTCAAAATCTGACAGGCCTAATTGAATAAACAGTGAGAAATTGTTTTACCTGCGAAATGGTCGAGAACCCGAGGGCACGGATTCAAAAGTGATTTGCAAAAGAAGCAAATATGAAGTGAGAAAAAAAACTTTCACACATTGAATAGTTAGGGTATGGGACATATTACCTGGAACTGTCAATAACACACATTCAATTGAGTCTTTCAAAAGGGTATTAGAAGATTATGTGGATCAAAATAATGTACGAGGGCATGGGGAAAAAAAAACAAGAGATAGGCAACAGGTAATAGGCAGCAGTGGCTGAGCGGCCTCTTTCTGTACAATAAGATTTCTGTGATCTTCAGCCAGATACGCAGCCTCCTTCTGATGTCCCCAACATAGAATATACAGGCTTTAGTAATATCCAGTACAGCAACAATACTGGTAACTAACAATAAGGAAACTGCTTAGATGGTTTGGTCCACAAAGAGCAAGACAAATCCACTTTGGTCAATTACTGCCTCAAGTCTACTCTCAAACAAATGGGGTGGCTGACAGTATCATCAAGCCACACCTGAAGGGCTAATGCATTTACAGATACTCAATTTGGGTTCTGCCAGGACCATGCAGCTTCTGACCTCATTACAGGCTTGGTTCAAACATGGACAAAAGAACTGAATTTAAGACGAGTTGAGTGCAACTGCCCTCACATCAAAGTAAGGTAACATTTGACAATAAGGCATCAAGGAACCCAAGTAAAACAGGTTTCGATGGGAATTGGCAAAATTCCTCCATTGGTTTAAGCCATACCTAGCACAAAAGAAGAGGATTCTCGCTTCCGAGATCAGGCGCTTTCAGACTAGTATGGCCATAGGCAGTTTCTAAGGGTAATGTCGTAGGTCCAACCATAATAAACTGCTTCAATGACATTCCTCCAACAAGCTCAGATGTTTACTGATGATTGCACAATGCTCAGCACCATTCATGTCTTCTCAGATACTGAAGTCATCTGTGACCATACACAGCAAGACCTGGACAATATCCAAGCTTGGACTGACAAGTGGCAAATAACATTCACATGAGGCACATAGACCAATCTCCAAAATAGAATCTACCCATTATCTCTTGACAATCAATGGCATTACTGTCACTGAAATCACTCCCATTACAAACATTCTGTGGTCACTATTGAAAAGAAACACAACTGGACAAGTCATATATAAACACTGTAGCTACAAGACCAGGCCAGAAACTAGGAATTTTAAGATGATTAATTCACCTCCTCAATTTCCAATGCTTAACCACCATCCACAACACACAAGTCAGGAGTGACATGGAATCATCTCCAGTTGTCTGGATGAATGCAGCTCCGACAATACTTGAAGCTCAACACAGCCAGCCCACTTCACTGGTACCCCATCTGACAGTCGCACCATGGCAACATGAGATTTACACAATATACTACATGAATTCACCAAGTTTTTTTTCCAACAGCAGTTTCCAAATCAGTGACCTCTGCCATCCAGAAGGTTAAGGACAGCAGATGCAATTTGTGTTGCATCAGTGTAAGTACCCATCCAAGCCACAGATCACCCTGACTTGAAACTCCCTAACCGCATTGTGAGGTAGCTAGATTTCATGGACCGCAGTAATTCAGGGCAGCAAGTCACCAATTTCTCCAGGACCATGAGGGATGGGCAATAAATGTTGGCTTGGCTAGAGACTCAAAATTTCATAAATGAATACATAATTTAAAAAACAAAAAAAGTGTTGAGAGTGTGAAGTTCCATTTTCTGGTAATCAAATTAGCTCAATGGCTTTATTTTTGGAGATGGTCATGTATGGAAATGGGTTTCATGTATGTCAAACTCCATTGACCCCCAGAAGTATGATTCACCGAATGAGTCAACCAAAGAGACTAATTTACTTTGTGCCAATTTATTTTGAATCTCAGACCAGATTTTCACTTGCTGTCTTGCTATTGCTTTACGTAGTTATACATTAAATTGTATTTAGTCATTAATTTGTATTAGATTTTTAGGAACAAAAAGTGAAGTCATGGTTGTTGGGTTTAGAGGTGGTTTGTAATTTGTATCTGTATGAAGAAAGCTTTTAAAATGTTACACTCTAGGTTATTCTTTATTGTTGGTGCCTGAACAGCTATCACCATTCCAAGTATCAAATGGAATGGGGATGAGGAGAATTAAGCATTTCTTAATAGAGGCATTGTCAGGTGGTAAAGAAAAGTTCATTAAAAAGTATCATACTTTGATGATTGATGAAACAGAATCCAGGCAAAGTAAATGCCCCATCTCAAACTAGACATTATGCCTTGTCCTGATGTCCAAGCACAAGTTTAGGCGAGGCAGTAATAACCGATAAACTACAGCTTTTTGCAACAAAAGCTGCATCTATACAGCACTTTTCATGCAAGGATATTCATAATCACTTTCAAATTGCAATCACTTCTTTCTTACCGTACAAGTGACCAGGTCCAAATTTTAACAAGCTTTTTCACATCACGACTGCAAATACATCCTTGCCATTTTGACATTGCTTGGGTCTATTAAGTAATCAAGTGAATAGTTGTGACCATTTACAGACACACCTATGTAGAATCAATTGCCATCCAAAATAAAATTATATTGTTCAAAGACATTGGGGTACAAATTATATTGAAAGTTCAGCAATGGCATATGTTGTCATAGAAATCCTAGAAAATCCAAAATAGTTAGGTGAAATTTACGGATGGCTGTATCCTTCAATTAGCGCACTTGTAAATATTCTGAAGCACCACATTATAAAGAGCATTAGCAACATCCAGTGGCAAGAATATGTAATTTAAAATTCACATTACAACAAAGCAACCTGTTGTGCTTTTACAAAAGGACAAAATATGTGGAAGTAAAAATAATTGAGCAGTTAAATACAGTAAAAATATTAAACTTGAGATTGAGAAAGCCAATACCTGTGACTGAAGAATGTCATTTTCCTTGGACATGGTCTTGGGTAATTCACAAAAGCCACCTTTCACCTTTGTACTTACGCTTGTAGCATTTGTTTTGTGAAACGGAGGATGACTAGGAATAACTTTCAGTGGGGACGTTGCAGGAAATCTGTTCAAAAGTACATCAACACAATTTTGCAATAAGTTAAATAGATGAAGTTGCTCCGAAACCAAGTACAATGTGAAATAATGCATCCAAAACATTTTAGCTGTGAAAACTACAACATTAAAATAGAGAATACAAGTCAAAAGAGTCATAATACAATACATACCTCAATGAAAGCAAATTGTGTGCCCAACATTTCACAACAAACTAAGAAGATACAAAATGTGAGGAGTAGGCAATTCAACCTCTGAAGCCAGCCCTGAAATTCAACAAGATTGTTGCTAATCTGCTCCAGGCATCAACTCCGGTTTCATGCCAGCTCATCATAGATTTTTGAAATGTCAGGGAGTTGAATGCTATCAACTTCCTCTTGAGATACTTTCTAGCCTTCCCATCCCTCTGGTGATTAAAAAAAAACTGGGAAAGGACATTCTATGGCATTACAGTTTTAAAGTCAGTGCCACGTTATTCTGCATGTATTTCACCTAGCTCGAGATTCCCCCACTAGTGGAACCATCTTCTCAACATCTAACTTTGTCAAGTCTTCTCAGAATTTAGTATTTTACAATATGATCACCTTTCATTCATCTAAACTCTTACAAATAAAGGCTAAATTTATTTAACTTATTGACAAGTCAAACTATTCATCTCAGGAATCAGTCTTGTGAATCTTGTTTGAAAAGCCTCTAATGTAAGTATATTCTTTTTAGTTTCTATTTTTCAAATCAACCTGTTCAGAAATGTTGTTACACACTTCTGGAGCATGTGGTATTTGAACCTAAGCCTCCTGTCTTAAAGGTAGGGAGACTACAATTGCCTCTGACCTTCTCCTGTAGCCACTGTCTTTATATGGCAAGTCCACTTGAATTTTTGGTCAATGGTAACCCCCAGGATATTGGATATTCAGTGGGAATTCAGTGATTCTAACACCATTGAATGTCAAGGGCAGGGGCTAGATTGTCTCTTATTGGAGACGGTCATCACCTAGGATTTGTGGGGCACAAATGCTACTTGCCACTTGTCAGCCGAAGCCTGGATATTGTCCAGATCTTGCTATTTCAGAACCTGAGGAAATGTACTTGTGTTTGAATGAAGATGCGGTTTGATTTCATAATATTCAAAACTAAAAAGAGATGTCCCTGTGAAACAAATTGAAGTGTAAGGTGGTAGGAGATAGGGGAGATAGGAACAAAGATGAAGTAAGAACTCCAGATTAATTTTTGTGTTTTTGGTCACAATCAAAGTAAAAATAAAATAAAATCTCAGAAGACTTGATAATCTTTGCTATAGTATATCACTACCTGTATTGCCCATAGAATTTAAGGCTTTGGCTGTCTACTTTTGATCAACATATCAGACAATGAAAATTGAACCACAAAAATGTATGTTATAAATGAATGCTTAGACACTGAATAATATAATTTGTATGATTTTGCCAGATGCAAAATAGCTGTTGCATTTGCCTATGCACCAATAATTGTACAGTATTAGAATACACAATTATGAACCACTTCAGGATATCCCAAGAAATAGTTAAGCAATTTGTAAATGCAAATTCCTCCATCTCTTTTCTTACCTGTAGAGCTGACCATTATCATCGAGGTTCTCTGCTCCCCATCTTCCTTTTATATCCTCAATTACATGATTCTTCAAAAACTTCCTCAATAGTTGTAGAGTCTGTTGTCTAGTTACTTCTGGCCCAAAATTACTGTTACTTCTCAGTAGTTCATGTAACCAATCCACTGCTTCAGAAGCCGTGAAACAGTTATTATATTTTTTCAAGTGCATTCTATGTTTTTTCAAAGGCATTCCTGCCCTAAAAAGCTTGGTTAATTCATTCCACTGAAAAAAAAAGTATCCAAAAGACAAAAAAGAAAACCTTCTTCAATATAGTTCTGGAAGACTTGACAGCTGGACAAAAGCAATTTTAAAAGTCATCTCTTCATTGCAATAAACTTGTAACAATTCAGAACAAGTACAATTTCAAATTTAAAAAATGTCAAAGAGGAATGCTTTAAAAATATTCTTTCACACACTGGACATTGTTGGCAAGGCCAACATTAATTGCCTATCCCTATTTGTCTTTGAGAAGACATTGTGGGCGAACTGCATTAAGAACAAAATTGATTAGAGACCCACCTGATTAGAGTCATACCACTCACACCCAGAGCAGCCCCTTTGAAAACAATGATGGCCATAACTTCAATCCAACATGATGTTAGATGCTTAGTTAATTATAGATTACAGACTTTTTTTTTTAAAAACTTGTTTCTGGATTACTGTTCAGTTTGCAGACAACACAAAGCTGGGTGGGAAGGTGAGCTGAGAGGAGGATGTAGAGATGCTTTGGTGTAATTTGGACAAGTCAAGTGGGTCAATACATGGCAGAAGTATGTGGATAAAGGCAAGGTTATCCACTTTTAGCAACAAACACAGCAAGGCAGACTGTCTAAATGACAACATATTGGGAAAGTAGGAGGTGCAATTGCTTTACTTTCAGCAACTGGTACACATTCAGGTGCAGCAGATCGCAAAAGGTAGTAAATGCTGTGTCAGCCTTCATAGCAAGAGCAGGAGAGTTAGAGCAGGGAGGTCTTACTGCAATTTTACCAGGCCTTGGTGAAACCTCACCTGGAGTATGATGTGCAGTTTTTGTCTCCTTATCAGAGGGTTGGTATTCTGGTTATGAAGGCAGTGCAGCAAAATTTTAACCAGACTAACTCCTGAGATGGCAAGACAGCAGAAAGAAGAGAGACTGGATCAGTTAGGACTATAATCACTGGAGTTTAGACAAACAAGGAAGAGTGGGGAATCTCAAACCTATAAAATTCTAGCAGTTTGAGAAGATTTGTAGCTCGGGTTGCAGATGAGGTTATAGACTTGCTTGCTGACCCGGTGTGTTTGGGTGCAGACATTTCGTCACCCTGCTAGGTAACATCGTCAGTGCACCTCCGGTGAAGCATTTGTGTTCTGTCCCGCTCGTTAGTTATATGCCTCGGTTTGCTGGGGTGGTTGGCATTACTTCCAGTTCTGTTTTTCAGTGGTTTGTATGCCGGGGCCAGTTCAATGTGTTTGTTGATGGAGTTCCAGTTGGAATGCCAGGCCTCCAGGAATTCCCTGGCGTGTCTCTGTTTGGCTCGTGCTATTATGAATATGTTGTCCCAGTCGAATTTGTGTCCTTCTTTGTCCGTGTTTATTGAGACCAGTGAGAATTGGTCGTGTCTCTTGGTGGCTAGTTGGTGTTCGTGTATCCTTATTGCCAGTTTTCTTCCAGTTTGGCCTATATAATGTTTCTCACAGTCCTTGCATAGTATTTTGTATATTACGTTAGTTTTATTGGTTGTGAGTATGGGATCCTTTATGTTTGTCAGTAGCTGTCACAGGGTGATTGTTGGTTTGTGGGCTACCCTGATACCTAGGAGTCTAGTACTGGAACCAACATACAAACCACTGAAAAACAGAACCAGAAGTAATGCCAACCACCCCAGCAAACCGAGGCATATAAATAACAAGCGGGACAGAACACCAACGCTTCACCGGAGGCGCGCTGACAATGTTACCTAGCAGAGTGACACCGGCTCGGCAAGCAAGTCTACAACCTCAAATTCTAGCAGGATTAGACAGAGTGAATGAAGGATTTTCCTGATCGAAAGTGAAAATTGGAACAGGAGTAGGCCATTCAAGCCACTACATATGATCATGGCTGATCGTCCAACTCAGTATTTTGTTCCTGCTTTCTCCCCATACCCTTTGATCCCTTAATTACATTAATCCGACGTACAAGTCTCTGGGCTAACATTAAACTAGTTTAAAGGAGCATATTTCTAATACAGCATGAAGCTTCAAGTGATCCAAGGCATGATGGGGTATGGGACTTTTATACCCTCAAGTCCTATGCTATGATGCCGTGAGAAATCATGAATGTTTCTTTTAACTGCAACCACCTAGTACTTACTCCTACCTTTAGTAACATTCAGTTCATCCATGCCTCTAATTTTTCTATCAACTTTTCATTTATTTTCCAGTAACGCAAGGAAGTCAAGAATCAAGTCTCAAAGTTACACACTACTTAGTAGGAGCAATTACTGAAAACAACAAATGCTAGAGATCACAGTGGGTCAAACAGCATCCATGGAGAGACAGAGCAAGCTAACATTTTGAGTCTAGATGACTCTTCATCAGAGTTAAAGTGAATTGTGGATGGGAGCAGCATATATGCTATAGTTGGGGGTTGGATGGTGGGGTTTTATGTGCTGATGGAGACAAGATGTTGATAGTTCAGATTAAGTGATCAGAATATGAGAATGGCAGAACAATGGTGTGTCTAATTGCCAGACTGGAAAGAACAGACAGTCCCACTGGGGTTGGGGGAGGGGAGAGAGGACACGGTGACAATGAATGTAACAAGTAAAGCTAATAGAAAGGGAAGGAATGGGAGTTCGTTCACAATTTGAAAGTGTTTAACTCAATATTAATGTGCAGAAGGCTGTAGAGTGCCTAGTCTGAAGCGGAGATGTTGTTCCTCCAGTTTGCGCGGTGATTAACTGGAGCACTACAGCACATCAAGGACAGACAAATGGGCGTGCGAGCAGGACGGGAATGTCAGGATCATGCTTGCGCAAGGATTGGAGGTATTCTGCAAAGTGATTACCCAGGCTGCATTTGATTTCTCCAATATACAGTAGCCATATTGGATGCAGCAAGTATAATACACAAGTTTGGAGAAGGTGCAGGTGGAATGCTGCTTCATCTGAAAAGACTGTTTAGGCCCTTGGATGGTGAGCAGGGAGGTGGTGAAGTGGCAGGTGTTGCACCTTCTGTGGTTAAATGGGAAGGGGGATGGTGTCAGTGGGCAATGAATGGACAAGGGTGTCCCACAGGGAACAATCCCTGCAAAATGTAGACAGGAGAATGAGGGGAATATGTGTTTAGTGGTGGTGTTCTGCTGGAGTTGTCTGAAACGGCAGAGGATGGTCCTTTGAACGCAGAGGCTGGTGAGATGAAAAGTGAGGACAAGGGGGACCCGATCACGCTGTTGAGTGATGGGAAGGGGCAAGGGTGGAAATACGGGTGATAGATCAGATGCAGTTGAGGACCCTGTCAACCACAGTGGACGGGAAACCATGGGACGGGAAACAGCAGCGCTGTTTTGGAAGGTGGCATCATCCGAACAGATGCAATGAAGGCAAAGGAACTGAGAGAATGGGATGGATCCCTTGCAGGATGTAGGGTGTGAAGAGCTGTAGTGGAGGTAGCCATGGGAGTCAGTGGCTTTGTAGTAGATGGCAGTGGACACTTTATTCCCTGAAATAGAGACAGAGAGGTCAAGAAAAGGAAGGGAAGTGTCGAAACGGACAATGTGAAAGTTATAGAGGGGTAGAAATTTACGCAGTGCTTAAATCAGTCCTATTCCTGGAACAGTTTTGGATTGCGTTTGTCCACCTCGGAGAGCGCCACACTCCCCATTCGCACATTGCCTGCAGACTTCTCCGCTGTACCATACCCTCCTAACTCGTTATATTTGGCAGACAGAGTATTTTAAAAAAAAAGCCCTTTCCTGCGAACTGTCAGAGAGCCTTTAACACCAAAAATAACTTACAAGTTTCGTAGCCCTGTAGGGACCTGACGTGATAATACGGCTTTCCATGATTTTCCAATTTGAGATAAGCTGTCAGTCTGGTCAGTGATCAGGATGGTGGATGTAGTGGTATCACCGCCGCTGCTCATACAGCGCGAGCCCAAGCTCGAGCTCCACCATTGCCGTGCATTTGAATTTCGAGCTCGAGCACTTAGTCGTACCTCATTGGTTAAACCGTCACGTGATTCGCCAAATTTAGAGTTTAGCAGTTGGCTTATCCCTTCGAGTTCAGGAAGTAGTACGTCATTTGCTAAACCATGAAACTATTTCACTTTGTTACTTCTACTGCTTCATTTTTTTTTACTGACTGCTCAAGCGTAATATTTCAGTCGCATTTTGTAAGAAAACAGTTTTTTTCTGCGTTCTTTCGTGGGATATGGGCATAGTTGTCAAAGTCTGCATTTTGTTGCTCTTCGTAATTACTTTCTGAACGGCTGCGCTGTATATATGTAAGGTATACCCATTCCTGCTGTTGGAGCGGACGTCTCGAGATTGCAGTCTAACGATAGTGAAAAGAGCGCAATATTGTTCGGAGTCAGCGTGGTGTGTGACTTGGAAGGGAACTTATCCATAGCTGGCCAACTGAGACCGTCAAGAAATATGGGGGACAAAAATAGAAATTGCTGGAAAAAACTCAGCAGCTTTGGCAACATCTGTGGAGAGAAATCAGAATTAACGTCGAGTGATCCTTCCCGAAACATTAACTCTGATTTCTCTCCGCTGATGCTGCCAGACGTGCTGAGCTTTTCCAGCAATTTCTATTTTTGTCTCTGATTTACAGCATCTGCAGTTCTTTCGGTTTTTTTTTTGTTAAGAAGTAATGGGACAGCGCAAGAGGAATGGGCTTCGGAGGTAGGGGTTTGCGTACATTGCTAATTGAGACCAAAGGTGACGGGAGTGCTTGTGTTGATGAGAGTAGGAGGCTTGTGGGTGGGGAGTCGAGAGCATGTTAGGTTGATTGGCTATGCTAAATTACTGGCTAGGGATGTGCAGGCTAGGTGGATTAGCCGTGGGATATGTAGGATTAGAGGGATGGGGTAAAGGGCAGGTCTAGGTAGGATGCTCTTGGGAGGGTCGTTGTGGATTCGGTGGACAGAATGGCCTGCCTTCACACTATAGGGATCCTATGATTCATAGGTCTGAAAGTTCATAGAACAACTAGTGCAGCACCGGTGAGGTTAAAGAGGGCTAAATGCGATACTCAGATAAGAGATTGTGATAATTACAAAACATTACATAAATTATTTTACTTACAGCGTGCCTCCTCCACCTGTCAATATTTCACGGCTATAAAACCCCAAAGTTCCAGCCTGGATTCCATTTCCAATACATATGCACGCCTTTACCTGACTCAATTCCCAGACATGTGCCCCTCTACCCGTGTATATACGGTTTATCTCAGCAAGGAAGCAGTAGAGATGCTAGAAAGCACAAAACTATCTGGAATGCTCATTACCGATTACTATCCCGTGCATACATGCCCAACCATTTGCTTTTGATGTGAATAGTTGCAGCTTGGGTATCTGTTGATTGTGGATTGCATTTGTTTTTCCACTTTTTCTCACTGTAACACCTACCAGAATTAATTTATTGCAAACACAAGAATAGGTTGCTGGAGTCGTTTATTTTCCCCATAAAATCTGGAGTAAAAGTGCCCTTTTATGGAAGCACATAACCAATTAAGAAATTAAGCATTAAATATAAACTAATAGTTACTAGCATTAATAATACACTGTACATTGTGGGTGTACCGACAACAAATGGACTGCAGTGATTAAGGAAGGCAGAGCCCCACCGTCTTCTCAAGGGCAATTAGGGATGGGAAATAAATTCAGACCCAGCCAGTGACATCTGCATCCCATGCACAAAACAAAAAAATTCTAGTTCTGGCAGTGCCCACTATTTAAATTAAATGCAGCCCAGAGTTGTGGCAATTGCCTATACTTTTTAATCAGCTCAATAAGAATGGTATTAGCTTCCCCGTGTCAATAACCTGAAAACAGGAAGGTACTTGTCATGCAATGATAGTGGTTCCTACTTTTGAGCCCGGAAGCTTGGGTTCAAGTCCTACCTGAACAAGTTGATAAGAAAATATCTAACCTTGAAAACTAGTTCCACAAGAATGCCCACAGCTGAGAAGACACCACAAACAAAATAATCTGAAGATGAGCTCAATAAAACTAAGTGGATTTTATATTTATGAAAACTCTAACTATTACTGACCCTATCATTTGAAAAGTCTATGTCCTGAGATGGCCACAGGTTGTGGAAGCCACGTTCCTATTCCTGAATCAGCCCAGAGTGGATAAGCTAATTACAATGGCAATTAGGGGGAAATAAAGATATAAAGGCTGAAGAAATAGCATTTTTGTGAAGAATTAAGAAATTAGGAATATTACATGGACTAAATGAGAGAACCAGCATTAATTGAGGGAACTAAAGAAAAGGATTGTTCAGGCAATAAGTAATAGGATGGGAAAGGAGAACTCTGTTTGAATTGTGGAAGAGAATGTCGAGCATGAACTTGGGGTGTGGATGGGTTTTGAAAATTAAACTGCAAGCTGAAACAGAGAGAACAAGAAGTGTCAGTAAAAACTAGTACTGGGTGTAGAGAAGACAAGATGTGTTTTAAAGAGGAAATATTTAAGCCCTTGTGAGCTGTGACTTTCAAGAATTACAAGAATTGAAAAAAATGTTAATTTCTGAATAACTGAATATAAATCACAACAATACCCACTCGCACATGCATACATATTGAAAGAGGTAACTACAAAAGAGATGGCATGCACTTAGTTGTTTAAAGGATCTAAAAAATAACTACTCAGATTTTTAAAATCCTGGAAGCATGGAAACATTGCAGGCATGATGATTTCCTTTGGTTTACTGAAGAAAACGGAGGTCAGAAGTTTATTAAATAACTTAATCCTTGTAACCACAAGTTTCTGGCTTTGTTCCAATCGAGATGAAGTTGAGCCCCTCGGTTGAAGATCTGGTTCGAGTCTGCAAATCAGTACTGAAAATATAATCACTTATCTTGCTATTCCTAAATTCTAAGGAGGGTCCTTTGCTGGATGGGATCTTTTCCCTCTGTAGTCTCTGTATCTTCCAGACTGACTGTTTTCTGGTGCTCTCAAGTTATGTGATAATAAATGTTCCTTATCACAAACTAGTCTCTGTAACATAACCATTGTATCAGTTTTCCCACTGCCTAGTGGATGTGCACTGATGATGTTAGGATTATCCTGCAGTGGGGTTTGAATCTCGGCCATTTGCATTTCCCTGTGATAATGTTTTTTCTTCACACCCATTCTATGGAATTTTCTTTGTTATGAAGTTGTGTAGAGTAATCGTGAATTGGAAGGCAGGAAGCTAGAATTTGTTTATAAAAATTGATAAAGGAGAACAGTGTGTGGTCTCTTTAAGAAATAAAATGCTTTTCTAAGATTAGAGATTTATACAGAAAATGGGTCTGTAAACTGCTGCAGATTACAGACAGTTCTAAAAATTGAAACATGTATCAATTGGCTGTGTGATTGACAACCTTAGGCTTGTTTTGATGTTTGGCAACTAGCTTGAATCAGCCAATTAATTTAAACCAAGCACTTGGAAACTGAAAGCCAGTTGAACTTAAATCTGAAATCTGATGGTGTTGACAAACGGGGACCAATCCTAGTGTAAGAAATGGACGTCATCAAAAAAGAGGGCATTTGGAAAATCATAGGAGAGCCAACCTGCCATCTGAGGAATAAGTACCTAGCTCTCACATGAAATCACTAAGCTCTCTGAAAAAGCATGGCACTTTTAGTTGAGAGTCCTCACAGAAGAAAATACAGTGGAAAATATCCCTGACAGCAGGATCAGCAGAAGAAAGGCTGAAGAGACAGTGGAGAAGGCAGAGCATTCTGGAAGACGCATTCTGTGTGGACTTTGAGAGACTAAGTTTTAATTTATTGTTTTCTTATTACTTGGATTTATATAAGTGGGATCTGTGTTTATTGGAACAGCATACCAGTAGAATTTAGTTTAGTCAACGAATAGTTAGTAAGGGGGGAGTTGTTTGCTTTGTTAGTAATTCTGTTAATTTATTCACTGTTAGGGTTAAATAAATAAATTGTTACTTTTACTTATAAAGTGAGTATCAGGGATTCCTTTCATTTAACTCTTTTAACAGATTATGAGGGGCAAGGCGAGCTTCTCTTGGTGTTTCAGATTTATTTATTAGAAGGGAACATTTACGCCCTCCAATACAGATTGGGGTTGGTGTTTTGGTTTAATTATCAGAGGGGTTTGACCTTTAACCACCCCTTCGTAACACTTTCTGCAGCAACTAAGTCCTTATGATTACTGCCCACCAGTCTCTAGATATTAAGATGTCAGTTATTGTTTAATTCACAGGAGAGATCAAATGTTTTCTCAGGGGTTTCCCAAAAGGTTGTTATTTTTATTATCCTATTCAGATATGCAGGCTATTTGCAGAGGTTCAGAGGAGGGGTCACTCAACCCGAAACATTTACACTGATTTCTCACAACAGATGCAGCCGGACCTGCTGAGCTTTTCCAGCAATGTCTGCTTTTGTTTCTGACTTACAGCATCCGCAGTTCTTTTGGTTTTTATTTAGGCTACTTTCAGTATTCCTCTTTATTTGCAGACAAGGACGGAGTTATCTAACACTTGACTGCATCTTATTGTAATATCAATTGTTCCATTCTCCATCTTTTTTCTAAGAAAAAATTTGTTTTTCATATATTTATGGGTGTAACTAAATAAGCAAGACATCCTTTCTTCTCAATGAAACTGGATTTCACTGTTCTACAAACTACAACTCAATCTCTAAGCACTCTTCCCTTTCTGAAATCCTTGGACATGTTGACTTGCGAAACCATGCCCATATTCCCACAATTTGATGCTTATCTGTTTCGTTGAGTTCAAAAACTGCCAAGTGGATGAGCAAACTGATCATGGGACTATGGTATAGGAGGCTATTCAAGTAGAAGAAGTGAAGAAGAATGTGACAGTGATAGCAGACTGTATGCTTAGGAGATATATACTAGTGTTACCAGTAACCAGAATTTACAAATGTGGCATTGTCTGTCTGCTACCAGGAT